GAACAATTTAATGCACAAGTTACACAAACCATAAAATACGGGAAGGCATTTGCATCTCCCTGTTTCCTTTTCTTCTTGAAAACAGGCATTTCAACTTGCACTGTGCCTACCAACTTCATGAAGTGCATTGCTGTCTGCTTAGAATCAGAGGAGATGAGGTTTTGAATATTGTTCACTGAAGTCTGGGGTGTGAGTACATATAACCAGAGTTGTGCCTTCTGTCCTTGCTTAGAGATTGCTCATCGTCACTGTATCAGAGGTTATACATCAACTTCAGCTGTCCCAGATGCCACATTTGAAATGAGGCCTCCAGAATCTAACACGTACTAGCATGTTCATACCAAATATACTTTATTACAAATACAAATCATTGTTTTCTGTGTTTGTTTGGCAAAACCCAAAACTCATTTGCAGATTCTGTTTTGGTTTTTAAGTATTTCTCCAACTTCAGAGATTCATTCCTGCCCAATTGATAATCGTCAGATGTTGGAAGGGGAACCTGTTGACTCTTCTTTTTCTAAGAAGGGAGAGGTGTGTGTGTGTGGGAGGGGGCAATAACACTGTGAATGCAACACTTACTGTTAATGGACTTGCATCCTCACCATATGTGCAGCCAGACCTGTTGAGAGTTCCTTTCCCTGCCAGCAACCATCTCTTGCTCAGGCAAGTAATGAGACTAGTGATTGTGATGGCCTTTCAACTGCTGATGCATATCTGGACCCATTTCATTCATGCTTTCTGCTTGGAGAGAAGACTGAAATTGCTTTGGTTGCCTTGGTGGATGACCTCTGCTGGGAACTGGAAAGAGGAATATGACTCCACTGGTTCTTCTGGCTGTCTTTGCAGCTTTTGAAACCATTGACCGTGGTATCCTTTTGGACTCCCTGGTAGGGACAGGCCTTGGAAGCACTGAATTGCTGTGGTTCTGGATCTTCCTGTTACATCCAGAAGGTGGTGTTGGGGGACTGCCATTTTGCACTTTGTCCATTGGTCTGTGGTATACCAAAGAGTTCTGTTCTCTACATTATTTAACATCTAAATGAAACCTCTGGCATAGCTCAGCTGGAGGGTTGTAGTGTGATGCCATCAATAAGCTGATGATACTGAGATAGATTAGCCAATTCCAAGGAAATAGTCAGCTGATGTTTTGCCAAAGTTTGATACCAGGCTAGATGAGGATGTGTGAATTAAGATTACGTCCAGAAAAGACAGAGATGTTGTTGGTCAGAGATTCAGCATGTTCTAGATGGGGTTGCCCTCCTTCTGAAGGATCAGATGTGTGCTTTGGGAGTGTTCCTAGATTCTCTCCTTGGATTTCCAGGTGGCAAGGAGTGCATTGCACAACTATGTCTAGTGTGTCAACTGTGACAAGTCCCAGTCAGACCATGGTTAACCATTCCTTGGTTACATCACAGTTAGATTATTGCATTTACACCTATAAGCCAAATCTTCTACCTACAGGAATTAAATTAAAAGATCAGAAATGTAGACAAACTGTTAGAAGCAGATATTTTTCTTCCAGAGTGGTACTCCTAAAGCTGCAGTGTTTAGTGCAATTAATCAATTAATTGGTAATCAGGCAGCGCAGACATACGTGTGTGTGTGTGCACACACATGTGCATGCATATGTACACACGTGTGCATGTGTATAAGTCTGATAAGTGCAGGTGACAAACATCTACCATGAGAGCCATTCCCTCTCTTTTCATCATAAAAGAAGGAATGCTTTTTCTAAGATTTTGCAATTATAAAGTAGATATGCCTTTAAAAAATAAAGGAAATTACTTTTTTCTTCAGTCTTACTCATATGTAAATTAGTACAGAGTTATAGTGTAATGTGATACATGTCTGTTCATAAGTATAACCCATTTGGTTCAGTTCATCCAGGAAGATACGTATAGGATTTCAGCCACAATGGATTAATTAATCTGTTACCCAGTTAAAACCTGGGTGCTTTAATTATTTAAGATTAGCTTAACTGGGTGACAGACAGCTGTGTGTGAATTCCGCTGGTGTCTCTCCGCTTCTCTGTTCCTCACACAGTTTGCTGATACTGTCATCTAATTGCATCAGTATATTTCAGGTTCATGAGAGTGTGGGTGCTACTAAGACCAGCTGAACATAAATCGTGGCACTTGGCTGGATAGGGCAATCTACAGCTCTCCTCCACCTTCAGACATCTGAATCAGGCTTCTATTCTACCCCAGATTTGATGCATGTACGAGAGGCAAGGAGAGAAAGAAGGGTCAAATCTATACCATTGTACAAACAGACCTGCAAGACTTCATCCCTGCAGCATCTACCCCAAATGTGCTGCAGAGGATTGGAATACCCTTTGGAAAAGTTTTGGGGGTGTGCAGAGGGGCCAGGAAATAATTTCTCTTCTAGTGCTAGTAGAATGTACTTAAATTCAAGCCACTGTTTCTGAGAACATTTTCTGAGATGGCCAAGCCATGGTGGATGAAAGATACGAGTATATGCCTTTGACAGAAGATTTTCTCCATCTGTTTTCTAGATCATGAATTAGGCTTCATAATATAGAATGGCATATCTCTCAGTAACATCTGTTCCAAAGAAGGTGCTTGGCTGATTTTCGTTTGAATGAACTGAAAGCCCAGATTATTTTTCCAATTGTAATAGGATTTTTTAAAATGACACCATTTGACGGGGTGAGAGGAATAAAAACCTTGGCAAGTCTGAAGTGCATCTGGAGCATTTTGAACTGACACGCAGTGATTTTAATATGTGTAGCAGAACAATATATGCTTTATGAGCAACAGCTTGTTCATTGCAGCATGAAAATAAATGCGTGGAAACAAAAACTTGTCACTCACAGTACTTTTTCTATAAAATGGCACCCAATATGACACTTCTATGTACATGATGGCATTTCAATGTGGGCAGTAGTGAGCAATTTGTCAGAAAAGTTACATAGTTCTTACATGTTTTTACTTATTATATTTAAATGTGTTTTTTTATCCTGCAAAGACCTGTGAGTGCCTTCCTTTTTCTCCATTTTATGCTCACAACAACTCTGTGAGGTAGGCTGCCCTAAGAGTCAGTGACTGGCCCTGTGTCACCCAGTGAGTTTCATGGGCTAGTGGGGACCAGGACCTGGGTCTGCTGAGTACCAGCCCAACACTGTAACCACTGGGGCACAATGGCTCTCCTTGCAGCCTTGCCAACTTTTTACTAGCATTTCTTACAATTTAAATTTAAAATGCATTAAGTGATGTTTGTTTGTTTGTTTTTGGAGAATGGTTATTAAATGTTAGGAAAAGTGTCACCTACCATGAATTTTAGTGTTTGCTATTAAGAGGTTTGTGCCCACTAATTAACCTTTTGCATTGAGGAAGGTCCTCTCAATTGATCAATCAGATTCTCAGAGCTCTAGCTGAGTATTGCTTGGTACTGAATTATGGGTTGTTACTGAATTGTTACAAGCACACCTGCGTAGTGGTTTCACTATGAGTTGTTAACCATGAACAACAGCAAATGATAGATTCTTTCAATGAGTTGATCATGGTTAACAGCCATAGTTAAAGCATGGTGTAGGGTTTGCACAGACTGATAACCTGCAGATCAGTGGTGTAGTTTTGTTGCTGCTTATTCGGTTTGACTCAGACAAATGCTGTTCCTATGCTGTTTTCTCAAAGTTAACATCGCAACACCCATGTTGCCTTTGTAACAAAGCACAAGGCGACAGAAGGACATTCCTCAAATGGTGGCAGCAGTGGGTGATTATACCAGCAGCAGACTTCTCACTCCTGCAGAGTGAGTTATCATAATGCACACTTCTCGAAGGGACCAGTTATGCGTGACTGTAGATGGAACTGTTTGCTACACCAGCTGGACTCAGTGAGGATGAGGAGGGAAGGCAACATTAAATCTTACATATATCCAATTCTTTTAATTCAGGGGCCCTCAAACTTTTCAGCTGGGGGCCAGTTGAAAGCTGCCGGTGCTGGGCGCGGGCCAGAAAGGTGGTGCTGGCGGTGCGTGTGGGCCAGCACGGGGGCATGGGTGGCGCGTGTGGGCGCACGCGCTGAGGCAAGGGCGGGGTGCTCAGTGAGGCAAGGCGAGGGGCGGGCGGGCATGCGCCACAAGGCAGGCACATGAGGCAATGGCATGCTCGCTTGGAGAACATTTTCTCTGAGCGAGCAAACCTCTGCCTCCCTGGGCGCGGGGCAAGATGGGCGGCGCGAGCCACGCGTGTGGGCACGGCGGGTCCAAATGGGCATGGCGGGCCAGATAAATGGGCATGGCAGACCGGATCTGGCCCCCGGGCCGTAGTTTGAGGACCCATGTTTTAGTTTCTCCTCATTCATAGGACCAGTGTTCTGATCATCTTTGTTGCCGTCCTCTAAACCTTTTCCAGGAAACACAACTTGCACTGCTAGACAGACTGTAGATGGGCATAAGATTGTCCAGATCCACAGCTGAAAGGCTGAGGGAAAAGCAGCAATCTTGTAGTTGGGGATCGAGGCCTGCTTCCCACTCCCCTCAGCCCACAGTTTGGGCTGCATCTCTGTGGTTTTAAGAGCAACCTTGAAGAAAGCCTGCTGCAGCCCTCCTCAGGGGCAGGGAGCGGAGGAACCAGCACTGCCAGGATGCCACGAATTCGAGTTGTGCCTCATCCTCCCCCCTCCTCACCGTGAGTGCACCACTTAGCCAAAATTGTCTGTCTAAGCTTTCACAAGGTGAGAGGAGCACAGAGGCAATATTTGCCTTCATGGTGCTTCTGCTCTGCTTAGGAGGCCTGTAATTATCTGAGTTCAGAGGAGTTTGGACATCCGAACTCGACGGTGCCTTAAATAGAAAACGCAAAGAAGTTTTGTTTTGCCCTGATAAGAATGCTGTGACACTCTTGCTTTGTTGTTGTTGATGATGTCAACCTCCTTGTTATTGTTGTTGTTCTTTTTAGAGTGGCCTTCTGTGCCCCACCAGACAAGAATCTACCATTTCTTCGATTAGGCTGGGCACCTCCATGAACGTAACCAATGTATCAGGAAATGGCACTGCTCCCTGGGAATCCAGATCCCGAGCTCACCTCATATTCTTACAACAACTTGGAGACACTCTGCGAAGTGCAGACAAAGAAAGGATTCTTCTACAAAAAAGCCAAACTTCTTCGTCCTGGAGAAGACTTGTGCTGTTTTGCCTGCCGGGAGGACCTGACCAGGTATGTGATCATCAATGTAGGTGGCATCAAATACAGGATTCCATGGACCACGTTAGAGAATTGTCCCTTGACCAGGCTTGGAAAGTTAAAATCATGCAACAACTTTGATGAGATAATGGATATCTGTGATGATTATGATGTCAACTGCAATGAGTTTTTTTTTGACCGCAACCCTTGTGCCTTCCGGACCATCATGACGTTTTTGACAGCTGGGAAGCTAAGGCTCCTCAGGGAAATGTGTGCCCTTTCCTTCCAAGATGAGCTGGTTTACTGGGGGATAGAAGAGGAAAATCTTGAGTGGTGCTGTAAAAAAAGACTGCGGCAGAAAGAGGAAGAGATGGCAGAAGCCACATTATTTGAAGGGGAAATAATAGCTAATGAAGAGCCACAATGTGCCTTTGAGGACAGCAGCCGCTTGCGTTTGTGCATGAGAAAGCTCAGGGATATGGTGGAGAATCCTCACTCAGGGATCCCAGGAAAGATCTTTGCTTGCATTTCTGTATCCTTTGTTGCCATCACTGCAATTAGTCTCTGTATTAGCACCATGCCAGATCTCAGAGAAGAAGAAGAACGGGTAAGTGCATAATGATCAAAACTCAGTTTACACAATTGTATTTCAAATGCCAGAAATACACATATAAGCAAACTTCAGAAGTACCATTTCTCTGCACTATTTCATTTTCATGCAGTCTGACACTGAAAATAGCATGAAGAGCTGATGCAGTCCTGAGTATGGATGCTCACTTTCCTCTAGTACTGCTCTCATTTCTACTTTCTCTTTTGGAAAGTTAGCAAATTCTTAGGAAGCAACTTGCCTGAAATTGATTTGGGCAGATGTCTCACAAAACCCCGTATCCTGGCCATTGTCTTGTCTCTTCTGTGAAACCAGCATTTCCCTTTTATTTTATTGCTTTTTTTCCAAGCTAGTCTTGTGTGTAACCATTCACTAAGGCCTTTTCATTAATTATTGCTGTTAATGACTTTTAGAGAAGATAAACTGCGTTGTTTCTGACTCTGAGCATGCCTGCTACTTCATAGTCCTGCAGAGAGATCTCAGAATACCCCATTTGTTTGCCCGTGACATCAAAGCCATTAGTATATGTTTTGTTGTTTCCTGAGCAATTTAATTCTCTCAATTCTACCACTCAATTGCCTTTTAAGTAATGCTCTTATTTTTGGGACATGCTCCCTTTTGAAATTAATCATGAGCCTACTGGTATTCTGAATAATTTCCTACCCATGTATATTTATGTTAATATGTAGAATTGCAAGTTTTGGGGGTGGGGGAGTAGTAGGATGGGAAAGGGTGAAGTTTTTTTGGAGACAGTGAGCTGTTTTATTTGGAGAAATCAAAATGCCATATGTAAGTAACTGATACTGAAATGTTCCTTTAACTAGGAAGCCTTTGACTTGGGTTTAATGGTCTTAATCTTTTAATTAACTTAACTTGGGATCATTTAACTTGATCTGAAACAAGCTTTGGCTATGGGCAGTATAGAAATGTAATTGATGATGATGATGATGATTACTCCAAAGTAAACCTTTCTCAATTGAGAGGGACTTTTGTAAAAATGGGATTCAGTGGGATGCAGAAAAGAAGCTCCAGCTCTAGCTTACATTTCATTTTCTCAAACTGAAAAGGAGTCTTTTTTCCAAAAAGCTTTCTCAATATTCTTTGAGAATTAGCTCCCCATTTCTAGAAATAGCAGTTCATCAGGAAATGGAAACATTTTAAAACCTACCCTGCAAAGAATAGGAATAGTGGACAGGGATGGTTAAAAGAAAAAAAAGTATTCCCCCAAATATTTGCCTTTATTTGCCATTGTTTGTAAATGGCATAAACCAAATGTGTTTAACCTCTTCTAACCAGAAGCCAAATTCTATTTTGGAGAAGCTCTTAGGGGCCGCATTCCAGGATGGGGCCAAGATATCAAAAATATCAGTGTATTTTAGCTTAAACCTCTCAATGCCTGTAACTGAACCTTGGGAAACATTTCGATTTTTGAGGATGAAAAGGAAGCATCAGGAAACCCCCAAACCATGGGTGGCTGGATGTTATGGGTGGGGCATGCAGAAGGAACATAGCCATATGGAGAACCATGGAAGGCCAGATTTGGCCTCCCCAGACATGAGATTCTATAATACTGAGACAGATATTGGGAGGTAGGATGTCGTAGGGCTCAAAAAGGTACAACAAAGGGCCACCAGAATCATTGGGCAGGCAGAAAAGCTCCTCTATGGGAAAAGTTAGAATCTTGGAGCAAAAGGTGAGTAAAGTGGGACATGACAGAGCCATGCCCCCAGTCTTTTTGGGTCTATTTGAGAAAGTATACTCACAGCATGGTTTCTGCAGAGAGAGTGCCAATCATAAGGTACCCACATCACCAAAGGAAAACCACTGAGGCCGAGAGATACTTAACTTGTCCAAAAACTTGAAAAAAGGGGAGATGTTGGGCTTTGGGTCTCAAAATACAAAACCTACTTACTTGAACCCACTTATTTTTGTTCAAAAATTCCATTTCACAGAAGGCAAAATCTTTAAAGTGTGTCTCAATAAGTTAATTTTAATGTTTAAAATTAGTCCCCCAAATTAATAGGTTAGCCTTTTTTCTCAGGACCACCTCCTCCCAAGCACACACACACACTCCCTCTCTCTTGATCTTCTCTTTCACATACACCTGTCTCCCTTTCTCCTGCCCTTGGAATTGTTCATCACTCTCTGATGCTGTGCCCACCCACCAAGCTTAGGCAGTATTACAGGAAAGGCTGCTGCTGCTTCTGAAAGCATTTCTGTTGGCTGACTTGGTATACTTCAAAGCAAAGTGCCAGTGAGGTTCAAAGGCATTTTGGGGAAATAAAAATGGTGGATGGTGGAGGCTGCTGTTTCACTTGGCGGCTTGCTATTAGTCATCCCTGTTAAAATTTTCTTTTGGAAAATTGGTAGGGGCAGGAAAGCCTCATGGGCACTAAGGGAGGTTGCTTTGGAATGGTGTGGGAAAATGAAATAGAAGCGGTTTATAAGATTTTATGTGGTGCAGAGAAAGTAATCCAACAAGCATGTTGTCTCTCAACACACAACATGTCTTATTCTTGAATGTGATTTCTGCTTTCTCCTAAAAAGGACTTCATATTTGAAGTACTAGAGTTATATGTCAAGTCTCTGTAAGAAGTGTTTTTAGAGTAATTGTGATTTTGAAGGCATCGGTATTTCCAAGGGAGTTGAAGCTGCCCACTCAAGCGATGGGGTAATGGATACACAAACTCTAAGGGTTCCATGCTGTGCAACCAAAGGCTGTGCGTTTGTGCAAATAGTTGAAAGGTCCTCAGTCATACAGATGTTCCTGTTCTTTCTTTAAAGAGCAAGCTGAATCATAGAGGGCAGAGAAGCATATTTAATTTTCCATATTGGCATTTTCTTGATAAAAGGGTGAATCTTAACGTCCAATAACACTTGATTCAAACCCCAATCACAGTTCCAAACAAATTCTTCCTCTGGATAGAATTCTGTTGTGAATGACTTTTCTGTGTTTGCTCATGAAGGGAAATAGAACTATCCTTGGAGGCTGATAAACACTCAGTACACTTGGGTTACATTTACCATTTTGAGGAATTAATAAAATGTCAAAGTCAGTGATAGTAGGTATATGTAGTAGTAGGTAAAAATTCTGAATTTTTACAGAATTGTTGGTTAAATGCTTCTATTCTTGCAAAATGTAAATCCACATGGTATCCATACAATACCTACATAAGGTACACACTTTCATTAGTTACCTATTGGATGGACATATCATATCTTGTTCCTTTAATACATTTTCAAATCTCATCCACTTTAGTAGAGAATAAGCACATGCTTAAATAGCTCCTGCTGAAGCCAGTTGGATTTAGAAGTGTTTCATTATGGCTGGATCATGCCCATGTGCCATTTTGGCAGGGAATGAGGTCATTTGTTGTTCATATCAGGTCATAAACTTTGCTGTTTGCAAAGCAGCAGTTCATGGTTCATACCAGGAGTGAGAAATTTGTCATGCTGGGGGAAAACTTCTGACAGCTATAAAATATCCATCAGCATCCTTGCTGTTTCTAGGTAACAGATAAGCAAGAATGCGACATTATAAAATAGTTATCAGTATTACAGTTTGATCACTACTGGGGAACAGGTGCACATATGAAATTGTATTCAAATTAATATTCTTCAGAAAAGGCAAACACCAAACTGGAATAGTACAAAGACGTCCAAAATGAATGAGAAACACACATGCTGGAAATGAATAGATACTTCTGTTACCAAAATGTATGAAATTCCCATTTAAAGAAACACAATAAAACACATAATTTAACTGAGCTAGATCCTTGGGAAATAGAATATATGATTATCTGACCATTGTGCCGTTGAGTGCTTGGACTGATATGGCACATTGGCCATAACCAGCTCTCTGTCAAAATGTCAGAAAAGGTAAGTAAATAAATAATGTCAGTTTCAATCGCACAGATGCAGAAAAGCACAGGCAGAGACGCAGTAGAGCTCTACTTCATCCTCTTATATCCAGTGAAAAACCATTCCTACAATTTGGGGGACCTTGTGGAATTGCTTGGGGGAACTCAATGAAATTAGGGACTACCCTATTGCACAAGCACGGTACCTTTGGGTCATGACAAGAAATGCTTTAGATCCTAGCTTATGTAATCAAAAATAAATAAATTTCCGGATGATTCATTATTGTGTACCAGATTTGAGTCAATTTGCTATGACAAAATATCAGTGTCTCTATTAACTGTAGGAAGTTCTGGAAAGAGAATTTTGTTATATGTTGGGTGATCATAGATTGCTATTTTATCGCACTGATACCGAGGCGAAAACTTTCTCACCGCTTGGCAGGATAGTATAAAGCTAGATAGCAGCTTGGTTATCTGTATGAGCTCTCATTATTTTCACTAGCTGTCTCTGAATCTTTTCTTCCATCAGTGCACAGCTATAAATAACGATTGCAGAATGTAATATTGCATTCCTTTTCATATTCCAACGATAGTCTTATATCATGGACACACTTTTGCGCAAGTCACATTCAGCTTCAAGGCGCTTGCATAGGAAAAGGTACTGTTGGGTTGTGCTCTTAATCCACCTTCTCTTCCCCCTTACTATTTTGATGTTAATTGTACAAATATGTGTCACAGAGTGAAAGAGAGACCTGGGCAGCCCAAAAATTAAAGAGAAAACAAATCAGTGTAATGACTGTAAAGTAAACTACACTTCATTATTTCCCCAAATTTTATTAGGGTTTTTCAACATGGTATTGTGTGCAGCTAGAAGAACATCTGTGGTTGGAGTGCTTTGGAAGTGAATGTGCTGCGATAGTCCTCAGGCAGCAATCCAGGCAGCTATACAAAGTGGTTTCAGAGGAAAACAGACTGATGCCTCTGATTATAAGCCAGGGTCAACATTTAACCTCCTCAAAGCAAAGGGCAAATAGTGAATCAGAGAAATAATACATTGCATATTAGTATGCCAGTGCAGAAGCAGTACTAAGAGAGGAAGAAGTATAGCTTTATCACACATAGCAAAATATTGTTTGTGGT